TCTTTGGCAAACATTAATCATTAGCCATTTGTTGAAAATTAACTTCTGATCCACGCAGACATACCACAGAGCCCTCATACGGTCATTCGTTTATATATTCGCTCACTCCACGCGCATTCCTGATGTGCCTCTTGTGCACTAGGCACAGAGTTAAGTTCACAACACTGCAGACGAACCAGTCTCCTGCCTCAGCTTCTAGGAACTCATACTGCTACTCTCATTCATGGTCACTCAACTATTTGGCCAAAGAGCCAAGCTGTCAGACCCCAGAGCCCATGTGCAGAAACACTGCACACCAACCCACAGCAGTTATAAAATCAGGCAGACACAGACTAACATCTATAAAGAGAGTTTACCAGGCTTAAGGGAGAGCAGAGGGAAAGTGAGTAAGTACTCAGGCGGTGGTGAGGGAGGCAAGCGAGAACAGGGATCAGAGAAGGCCCAACGGCAGAGGCAGCACAGGGTCTGTCCTGGAAGAGCAGATAGAACCTAGGCATGCAAAAAACGAGCACACAGTCCAAACACACAGCAGAGCAAAGGCACAGTGCAGATGAGGCACAGAACTAATACCTGATCTACACGCTAAGCGCAACGAAGCAAGTGCTGAAATTATGTTTCCAGAATTACAATTCACACCACTCCTTATGTGCGAAAACTGTGACATGATGAAAATATATGACCATGCAGATCCAATGAACTCACTTTTTAGGCCCAGGAAACACTGTACACTGGGATCTCAGAGGAGAGAAGGCAATCAAAGCAGACTATCCCATGGTGTCCCTGGCCATTAGGAAGCATTTGGTACCGCTGACAACTGTCCACTGCCAACACTGCTTCTCAAAGATGCTCCTTACCTGAGCTCTGCTACTCCGAGCTACAGCACAGAATGTTCTAGACTTCGCAGTTCTGACACCAGCTAGTTGGAGGGCTCCTCCAGCCAGAGGCACACACAAGGGGGTCACAAGGCCCTAAGTTTTTCAGGAATATATGCTTATAATGTCCCACCCAACCCCAGTCAAGGACCTCCAAGGAATCTACAGAGGGACCTGCCACCCAAGAAAACCCCAAACAGAGGAAAGCACGGTGGAGGTGCGTCTCCTGAGAGAGCTGTTCACTTGGCGGCATCCGCAACACACACTTACTGGACATCATCACACACTGCCAGGCCAGGCACTGCCTGCTGGGGACTGAAAGTGATTCACTACGAATTGCATTCTGAAGGTAAAGATTAGATGTGCATATAAATAAATAAAATATCAGTATTTTATACATAAAATGCCACAAGAATGGTTCAGATAAGAGTGGTATTTCAGACCAGGGTCAGAAAAGCCCTCACGGAAGAGACACAATTGGGGGTGACTTCTGAGCAGCTACAGGGACAAGGACACATGAAGAAAGACTAGTAGGGACGGAGAGGCACTGCCGATGGAGAAAGCAGGAAGAGACAGCATGTGGACGAGTGTAGGGGAAGGTGTTTAGGAACTTATGGTAGACAGATGGGTGGGGCTGTGAAGGAGAGGAATGTAGGATAAACTGAAAAAGGTCGGAGAGACCAAAGAGGAGCTGGCCATAGGGTCTGACCTTTCCGCCATGGGCAGTGGGCAGCCACTGAAGCCTCAGGACCGCTTATCCAGCCGTGGTGTGTACAGCAAGGAAGGGGAAGACATGAGGGAATGCTGTGGAAGCAAAATGTCAGCATGCTGCAAGGAAACAAACTAGCCTCGACAAGATGAGAAAGCGGGCAGAGAAGGGGCCAAAGACACAGTGATGGTTCTGGCTGCATTTCCCCAGACTTCAGTGGGCACCAGGTAGGAGTCCAGCACTTGGCCTGGTCAAGGGCCGTGGGCCTTGCCTCCCGTGGGTGCAGCCATTAGCAGACCTCAGGGAAGGTCTGAGTGGCCGACGAGCGTCCCTATCTTGGACAGTTGTCATCTGAGGCAGTCCAGCGCCACAGACAAATGGGTGGAAGCCTGGGGGTGGGGGAAGTATCAGGAACAGGCTGCAGAGACTGAAAACCGTTCAGCCACGTCAGTGTGCTTATGAGAAACTCAAGTTTAGGGAGCAAAATAAAGTGTTTTTCAGCACAGTGAAGTACAATATTGCCATCATCCCCACCCCAACACTCCATAAAGAAGAGCTAAGAAGAAGATTAAGTCAGTGATATACGTTTCCAATAAGTGGAACTGAGGAACTACTGCTGCCGACTGAACTGACAGGGACGTTACTGTGGGAACTGAGTTGCACCGTTTCCATGGCGTCGGCCTCACTAGTTCCCTGCAAGTCCACAAATGTTAAGCTGCATAGAAACTTGAGATTGTTTATATATTTTTTAAAAATCTAACCCTGGGAAAACTTGCTGCCCCCAAGGTAGTCTCTAAATCCCCAGAGCTGGCTGAGTTACACACAACCCAGACCAAACACGAACTGCACCAATGGGATGTTTCTCATCCAACAAAAATAATCATTTCACTACAAACAACCTGTAACAGGCAGAAACACCTTCCACAAAGCTGGCCCTGGGTTTTATTCTACGTGCTCGACGTACACATTTCCCACAGAGCTATGAGGCAAAGAAAACCAGGAGCTCCCTGATGCGTACGGCTTTGCAACCCACACCAGTCTCTGCCCTTTGTTTTGCCATTCACATTAACTGAAAGGTATTTACTACAGATGAAAAATAAGCTTCGTTCAGCTGCCTCTAAACCGATTCCAAAAATAGAGCAATCACTTTGGTACAAATTGGGTCAAATGTATTAAAAAAGAACCCACTCCCTGGTGGGAGGACTGCATGGCATGGGACCTTGCTAAAAGTCAGGGGGGACATCCACAGAGCCCTTCCCTTCCCACAGTGGGAGAGGAAGTATTTAAAGAGTCAGGCAGAGAATAAACTCATCTGACCACGTGACCATCCAAGTGAATGCAAGACAAACTCGAATGCTATGAGTTTCAGAATCCTAAGAGGTCAAAGGAATACATGTTGGTTTTTAAAAAGGCCTGCCAAAGGAACACACTGCCTCCTCCCTTCCAAAGACCAGTGTTTAAGAATTGTCAAGAAGGATAAACTGGGGAGGGGTGGCCAAGGAGAGATCTCTCCACCTCCTGTACTTTATTCCCTCCCTCACCAGACGAGAAATCTCACTGGTCCAACAGCATGAGAGCCGTGTACCAGGCTTCCCTGGGAAAGCTTAGGACTTGAACCAGCTACACATGCAGCTGCATTGATTGCTGCATTGACTGAAATTAATCTGCCTTTCTGAAAGGTGTTTATTTTTCTAAGTTTGTTTAATCATGTTCTCTTGAGCTACAAACAACAACAAACTGGGTCACCGTCCCTGTAGTTAAATTTGGTAACGAGGTTGACACCATCTGTGGCCCAGACAATGATGACCCATCCCCACCAATGGGGGCTTTCCACTGCTTCTGCTTTTCCTTTAAAATGATCATCTAATGCCATTATCTACAATGAAAGCAGAAGCTATTTAAAATATCCAAAGTTACACAAATCATCTTTAGCATAGTATGAATACATACTAACAGTGTTCATATGTATATCCAACTCTCATTTACAATTGAATTTCCAGTAGCGATATCCACATATTTTTAACTATCTAGAAATCAGACCAGAAAATCCCAAAGATGAGCAGACATCATGTTACATCTGAAATATGCTTCAAGTGTAACCTGAAATCCTTTACATAAACCATGTGGGCTAACATTGCATGAGCATAATTTCAGTGCATCCTCAGAACCCAGAAGAGCACTCCCCACACTAATTCTGCCTTTCCAACACTCGGTTAAGAACACCCAGCCCTCCTAAAACACAGCTTCAAGGCATGAAACCAAAACAAATGGAACAAGCTGAATGAGGAAAAAGCCAAAGAATGGAGAGAGTTTCCTGTTATCCAGCACTGGCCTCTCCTCCACAGCCTTTCTGCTCAGCCTCCAATTATTAAGGATTGATCCTGTAAGGATGCTGCAGCTCCAGAAAAAAATCTGAAATGGCTTATGAATCATTGAGGAAAGACTACGGGACGTCAGAGGAAAAAACCACCCTACTGATCTTCTCATCAACCCCCTTCATTGACAGGTGGGGAAATGGCAATGCAGAAGGGGTACAGGAAAGGCACCGCCAGGACAGCCAGGGGAGAGTCCAGTGGGACAAGAGTCCAAGTCCCACCCAGGTGCTCACCAGTGCTTTAAAAGGAAAAAAAAACTAGATCAACCTTTCCCAAGTGAAGTTCCATGAAACGCTGGTTCCGTGATGTGTTCTGTCAAAAAATGTTTAAAGAATGCATGACCAATTACTTTTAAGGACTAGCTGAGTCAAACAAAATGAAATGGTTTTTTAACTACAGACCTTCCTGGAGTTTTTATTTGAGCTAATGCAGACTATAAAATCTTTAAGAAGGCAGTAAAGTATGTGGAAGTATCCCAATTTATTTAACCATGGAATCATTTTATCTTGGGGCACTTCATAGGACGAGGATTTAAGAACTTCATACTATCCCGTGTGCTTCTCCAAACCGTGCTCCATGGAATTTATTAGCTTTGTTGTATTCTACTTCCCTGAAAAGTAATAGTTCATAGACAAAATCTGTAATTCTCTACTTACCAGAAAAATTGACCAAAGTACCCACCACTCCCAAATAACACTGGATTTAAAAAAAAAAAAAAGCTAACGCTGTCAGGAAAAGAATGATAGACAAAAAAAGCTTATATGAAGAGAAAAGTTATTTTAAAACCTGCTACAAACCTCTTCCATAAAACATTCTATATCTATTCAAGATTCATAACTTTAAACACTTTATTTCATTCAGTATAAATTTGAGAATACAGGTAAAAACATTTTTTAAAAAGAAAAACACATTGTTGCAAAGCTCCAGGAAACATCACAGGCAGAGCTGTAAACTGTAACCACCCAGAAAGCCAGCTGCCAGTTTCGGCGTACAGGCAAATGACAGCCACGCATCAGGACAAGCAGGAACTCTAAGGACACTTACCAAGTTATGATTTGTTGAATTAGAATCATCTTCAGGGAATGGGATGTAAATAGCTAAGGCCACACAATTGGCAAAAATAGCCAATAATATAAATATGTCAAATGGTCTGAAAAATTTTGTTAAGGTATATATATATATATATACACACACACACATGTGTATATGTCATACAAATACAAACCATCTCTCTCACCATGCTCCCAATCACACCATTTTTCAATCACTTTTAAAATGAAAATTGTATATACAAATCTGTTTTCAGCTGACTGTGTGATGGCTAGGTTTCCAGCAGAAGTCATCTCAGTGGTCACCTCACAGTAGGTGTCCTATCAAGTGACCCCTGCCTGTCCTTCTCTTCTGTTACAAGTTCCATGTTACATTATTCTGCTGCTCATTTTATATGAAAACCTAAAAGTGCATCCAGTCAGGGCACTGTGTGAACCAGGTTTCTGCTTCTTTTAGTTTTAAAACCAACAACGGCCTTCGAAAGCTAAGATTCCTGTTTGTTTCTTTCCTGACTCAAAGAGAAGTCATCACAAGACAGATGTCTTCCACAAGCCCTTGCCTCCCTGTGTTAGAGCCCCTTTTCCAGGGGCTGTTGTTAGCAGGGTCGGTCCGAATCTCGTCTGGACCGGGGTGGGCCCAGTCACCAGGACCCCCTCTGCTCTCCCTGGGACTGTCTCATGGCCTGTTCTGATTCCTCAGCTGCTGTAATAAGCAAGCCAGGCTTCAGCTCCCTCCTCTGCCTTCTTGACTAATCAATGATTACCACTGCTTCAGACTAGAGCTGGAATGGAGCTCAGTTTATTATGTGCTGTTACTGCATTCACTTTGTAACACATTAAAAGCCATAAGAAATCAGCATCAGACACTTACAAAGTACAGTTTAACAATTCTAAATCTCAGGGGTCTGTCTAGAGGAATCACTGGGATCAGCTTTCAACAGATGTTTGTTTAAACATTCTGGTGTTATTAAGAGACACTGTCAAAACTGGCAACACAAAGTTTGACATCTGCCAAAATGACTCTTTCTTCTTTTGGTTTCCAGCCCTTCCAAAGTAAGGTTCCATGAGCACCAACCTAACCTAATCCGCAACTCCAGGGTTTGACTTTCTGACGGTGTTTCTCCCATACAGGCAGTAATCTACAAAAGGCAAGGCCACTGGTTTAACAAAACACCTCAGAGTCCTAAAGCTTTGTGGATATGAATAGATCCTTCTCTAATCATTCTGATATCCTTCTGAGAAATCCAAAACAGCTGAAGGAAATAAAAACTCCTTGCCTCTCTGGGGACCTTGAGTTTCATTAAACTTCAGCCCCTTGAAGAGTTTCCACACTCATGGAAGTAAGAACACAGACGATATTACTCCCGTACTGATGTTGATGGGTTTATTTTTTAAGCCAATTTGTTTTCATTCATGTTTATTCTCTTACCTAGTAGTATGAAATCTCTTATCTAGGGACCCAACTTTAAGACAGTCCACCTTAAGACCTCAGAATCTCCTCTTTTATTTTTCTCTTCAGTAGTTCCTACTGGAATTTAAAAAGCCAATTGCCCCAATGTTACTCTACATAGAAACACACTGTCTCTCCATTCCCTTGTACCACCATTCTTTCTTTTCAACTTCCTAAGACCTAAATGATAGCCCAGCAAATCTGAGAAATACTAACACTGTTCAGGAAGACCAAATATAAGTATTTTTTTCTTTATAGTGGTCCAGTTTCAGTCTCCAGGTATTATTGGATATTACCTCACTGCCACAAGATTTTCACAAGCCAAGCAGAACAGAGTAATAGGTTGGATCCTAAAAATTCCTTCTAATAAAGCAAACACTCCTCACTCCCCCACGATGCAGGATACTCTCTGCCTTTCCTGTGTGCAAAAACAACTAGGCTCTCACTCTTCCGGAGCTGACTGGGCCTGGCACTGCTGACTTTGGGAGGATTTCTACAAGCTGCTCCCTGAACTAGAAGGAAACTGTTATTTGAAAAAACAAACAGATCACATATTGTTTAAGGATCTATTCTACCAACCGTCGCACTTGTACGCAGGCTCCTCCCTGCTTTGGCAGCCACATCCCCTAATTCCTGTACACACGTGTCTGGCAATGCAGAAGAGGGAGTCGGCAGTGTGATCCGGGAAGTCTCTCCATGCACATAAATTGCTATATACAAATTACTGTGCACCAAGAGAAACAGCACCAGGCCTCCCACCTCACTCCACATGAAATGAATGACTCTTCCAAGAGGTCCTTGCTTACTCAGAGTCACATCAAGCCAGCCTAAAGAGGAGATCTTTCCGGCCAAGTGCGACCACTGCCTCTGACTCCAGCGATGCCACTGAGGCACACACTCTTTACCTCCCTCCCTCCTGGGCCAACACAGTGTTCATTTTCAGACTAGAAAAGAATTTAAAAGAGAAAACACATCCACAGTACCCAGCTATGTGAGAGACACCATAACTCCCTCTAGAGAAGAGACATCTGTTCTAAAAGGAAAGGAACATGAAAACCCCTCAAATCCTATCTTTATATTTGGCTGCTCTCTCCAAAACCTTTCAGGACAGTTACCTCATTTTAACTCGTGTGTGTGAGCACAGAAAGTAGACAGGACAGAGGGCATATAAACAGCTGCCTGGCTAGGTACTCAAACTGTAAGAGGGTTTCTGCTCCACCTTCTAGCCGGTTGCCAACATCTTCCTTTCTTAGTGTGGCCCCTCCATCTAGACATGGTGCGGGAACCCCTGAATTCACACTCCTTCCTATAGTTAGGAACTGCTCTAAGGTCCCTTGACAGCCCTAAATATACTTCTGGGAAAAGGAAATGTGAGTTTTACCCTGGCCAATGAATCAACTAATTAGAAAGCCATTTGCATAGAAAGAAGACCTCAGTTAACCTTTTCTGAAGGGTGGCAGTAACTGAAGTCCAGCCTCCAGATCTGGGGAAAGGGATGAACAGGCAAAGCACCCTAATTTTCCAAGATCTGAGACATAACAACCATCCTGGGCATTTGAAGTTCAGTTTTTAAAAATAAAAAGGAGACACTCAGAAATGTAACTCCAGTCCAAGGACATAGAATTTTTTTATAAAAGCAGCAACTGCAAATTCCTCACTGAGAGGGCTGCTCTCTAACAGTACAGGCTCAAGCAAAAGGGGCAGCAGGGACCCCTCCTTCATGTGTTCCCTCCCGCTCACCGTTCAGAAGCCTTTCTGGAACTTGTCGAAAGGAAATTCCGGAAAGTCACAGCATTGATGAGCAACTGCTCCCTCCCTGCGAAGCAAGTGCTCCCATCTGCAGTCACCTGAACAGTCAGAATCACCAGGTCCAGAGTCAGAAGCAATCTAAGCACTAAGAGGAGTTTCGGAAGCAAATTCCAAACATCGAAATGAGAAGATTCCACTAAAGGTTAAAGATATTTGTGTTTGGGGTTTTTTGTTGTTGCCGTTATGTTTTGTTTTGCTTTGCTTTTGGCTGGAGCAGCTCAGCGGGTTGAGTGCAGGCCTGTGAACTGAAAGGTCTCGGGTTTGATTCCCCGTCAGAGTTACGGGCCATGTCCCCAGTTCAGGGCCTGCAAGAGGCTGCTGATCGATGTGAACATCGATGTTCTCTCCCTCCCTTCCTTCCTCTCTCTAAAAATAAACCAATAAATTTTCTTTTAAAATGTATTTTTTTGTAGCAGAGCCTCATTCGGTCTTTTTTTAAATCAGCCTACCTTAGTTGCAATGGCACACCACTGCCGAAAAACAATAGTGGATTTAAACTAACCATCTAATGCCAAATGACCAAAAGTGAGTTTCATATTTTAATTCTCTTCCACCTTGAAGTTTTAGGATATCGCTCCAGCCCCACACTACCACCACTACACACATACACACACACACACACACACACACACACCCATAGGTTAAGTATGCCCACAGAGCCACCCCTCTGCCCCCTGAGATAGGAAAGGTGTATACAATGAACCCCTTCACACACACAGCTTCTGTTGCTCACATTCCAGAGACTGCTACCACTTTTAAGTGCCATTTCAGAACACAAATCCTTTTTAAGAACAGATGGTGAAAGAAAATGAGAAAGACTTTCCCCGAAAAAGGATACTTCCACTCCACTATACTAATGCAGGCTCTTCGGATGGGGTTGTTGAGTGATAAACAGAAAAGGGCACGGGCAGGTCGGCTGTTGGACGAGTTACCCTGTTTTTTGCTCTTGGAATATTGCTGACGTTTTCTTTGGGAGAGAGATCCTACAGGTGGGGGTGCGGAGGTGCTCATAGTTTGGGCAGCCTTGGCCTGTCTAGCAGCATCGATCGCAGCTTGCCAAGATAGGACGGTCTGCTTGGAGCTGTTCGGCTGAGAAGTTGGTCCTTCCCCAGAAAGAGAAAGCCTGGTGCCTCTTGCATAGTTTGCCTCTGGCGAGAAAGAAAAAAAATAAGAATTTAGTGTCAGAAAAAAGCAAAGATTGTCTCCCATCAGGCAATCATTCCCATGATTCCATTTTGAACCCCATATCCTAGTTTTCAGAAGCAGGGGTTTGGTCAGCCAGAGCAGCAAAAACGTCCCTGCACTCGGCCCTGAGTGTCACTCACACAGGACCTTGCTGCATGATGCTCGGTGGGGTTAGTACCTCTTTAGATCCATGAATTCACAAGGAGTCTTTGGTGCATTTCTTCAGACAAACTCAAGTCATTCCCACATTTATTCCACACCTTTTCTTTTTTAAAACCCATGTGTCTCCAATGAGTTGATAGGCAGAGCAGCTTTTCTCCAAAATAATGACCACCATCACACAAAAAAGTGCCAATAATTCAATAGGCATTCATTTTCAGAGTGTCACTCAAACATCTTTACACAGTCGCAAATGCATTTTTCAGCATGGAAAAAAAAAAAAAAAAAACCTCCACTGGCACCAGGGCAATACCAAAAGCCCCATAACAAATATCTAGATTATGCACTGACACTTCCTGCAAATGAAAATTCATGATGGTTAGGACTCATTTCCTCCACCGGCTTCTGAAAACAGAAAACATCTTTAAAGCTTTTTTGCATTTTAAATTACAGCCACATCAGCCAAGCCAGCATCCAGAGAAACCGACAAGGCAGGCAGCCCGCACCCCTGCACCTAGGATAGGCAGGCTGGATTATGCGGGGGGGGCCTGGAGGCCTAAACTGGAATCATCTCACTGTAGGCGGTCATCTCAGTTCACAAGGGCAAAACCTCAAGATGGGCAAAGCCCCCTCCGGCTTTGGGCCAGGCCACCACCTAAGCTAGTCTCCCCAGCACCTGCCTGCCTTGGGTCATAGCCTTCTTACTGAGACAGAAGTCAAAGTGAGAGCAGTGGCAGGCATAGTGGGATAGGGCGTTTGCAAAGCCAATTCTTACTGAGTAAAGAATAAGGAAAAGTCAAAGCAAGCATAGGTCTGCCTGCTCAGCAGCCTGGGAAGGAGACCATGAAGGTGGGCAGCAGACAGTACCCGCCTGGAAAGGAGTCAGGCCAAGCTTTCCCCTGGGGAGTGCTCACCTAGGAAAGCTACAAGCCCACGGGAGTTGTGGGGGGGCGCCGGGGACCTCCAAGGAGGATGGAGGAGGGCTGGCCAGGAGCTGGTCCAGCCTCCCCCGCCCCAGCCCCGAGGGCGGCGTGGTAGCTGCACGTGGTGCCCGAACCCGGGCTGGGGAGGGGAAACCAACAGCAGCAGCGACTCCCCGGACATTGCTAGGTTACCGACGTGTGCACAGCGGCGCTGGGAGCGGGAATACGAGCTCCACCCGACCCCTTGCCAGTGATTCTGAGACCCGGCCTCCCTCTCGAGGGGAGAGGTGTGCTTCCCCCGCGGGCGGGAAGGGTGAAACCCAGCAATCCTAGAATTTTCAGGATGCCACCAGAGACCTTCTTCCTAGTAACCAGGGCGGGTAAGCAGGGGAAGCCGAGAAGAGGCTGGAAAGGGGGCTCGGGCTGAAGACTAACAGCCACCCCCTTCCACCGCTCGTTCGCTCGCGTCGGAGGAAAGTTGAGCCCGAGGACACTGAACCCGAATCACCTTGGCTCGCAGCCCCTCCGGCTGCACAGCACTCCTCCGACTCGGCGGCCGCCCCCACCCCACAAATGCAGAATTAACTGTGACATTCAAGGCCTGAAGGAGAGAAAGGAGTGGCTGTCACGCATATCCCCTTTCTGTAGATGACACCAAGCTAGAAACATCCTCTCCAAACCCCTCAGCCCACCCCGAGCATCGGAGGCGGGAGGGGTGAGAACGAAGCGGGGTGGGAAGAGGAGGACCATGAAAAGGATTAGATTTGGCAGCGGGTGCCCAGGCTCTGGCTGCTCACCGTTCGCGTGGTCCGCTTGCTGCTGCCGTTGATGCTGCATTTTTTTCATCATCATCATCATCATCATCCACGAACATTTATTGAGCGCCTACTGTGTGCAGGGCACTGTGCTGGGTGTAGGGGCGGGGGCGGAGCGGGTAGGGGGTTACGGATAGACAGGAGCACAGTCCCAGCCCTTATTCTCGCTTCAGCAGGGGGTGGGGAGGGACGGGGGCTGATAACAGAAAATAAGAATAATTTATAAAAACCGCTCGCCACCCACGCTCCCTCTTTTTCAAAAATGGAGCAAAATAAACTTTTTTAAAAAAATAAGATCAGATGTATATATTATCTTAATAATATATACGTGTAATTTTTTGCTGCAAAGGAGAATTGGCTTGGTCCCTCCTCTAGCGGAGGGACGCCGCGGGGATGCTGGCCCGGCCCCCGGGGCCACTCCGAGCGCCCCGCATGCCCGCCGCCCGCCGCGGTGCCCGGTGCCCGGTGCCCGCCGCCACCGCCGACCGCGCCGCCGCTGGCTCGGGACCGCGGGCAGCCCGAGCTCACATCCGGGGACGGAGGCGCTCGGTCGCTCGCTCCGCGCCTGCCTGCCGCGCCGCGCCGCACGCCGGTTCGCCCTGGCGACGCTGCGCGCCCGCCGGCGCCGTCCTCCCCCCTCCCCCCGCCCGCCCCGAGCCTCCCACGGGCCACGCCGCGCTTCGGCGGTCGGCTGCCGGGCCAGGGGATCTCCCCGCACAGCCCGAGCGGTTGGGGTGGCCGCCTCCTGGGACTCAGAGTGCTGCCGCTCCGGCCTGGCTAGGATGACCCGCGGGCGCCAAAGGGTTAAGCGCGCTCCAGCCGCGGGCCGCCTGCTTAACCCCCTCTTCCCCGCAGAGTGTTTGCCCTTTCCCACCCCCCCCACCCCCCCCCCCCCCCCCACCCCCCACCCCCCCCAAAGATGCGGGCGGGGCCTGCAGATCTCGCGGATGCGGTGTGCGGATTAACCGCTCCGCCCACTGCATTTCTTCCAGGCCCGCGAAGGATCGCTTAGGCTTCCGCGGCCAGACACGGTTCTCCGAGGGTGTCCTCCCCTCTGCACACCTGGAGGAGGCCCCGCCCCCTGGAAGCACAGGTGCCAGCAGCGGGTTGTCGACGCTCCGGTGTGGAGGGGCTCTCTGGTTCCCTTAGGGCTCCCGAGCTGGGCTAGCACCCCACTTTCCTCAGGCTCTTTCTGGTTGTGAGGAGGGGGATGGGAGAACCAGGCCCTCTGGAAAACACTTACTGCCCCAGGTAACAGCACCTTTAGATCTAACCGGGTCTGCAGCGCGTACCCCCTCCCATCCCTGCCCTGTGCTGGGTCTGACTCCACTGTGGACTCTGGACACTTTGGGGGGTAGCATATTTCTCTCCCTCTCCTCTGGTCTCCCTCCCTTTCTCTACATCCCCCACCTCCCCATATGCGTTTGGAGGCAGGTACAGGGAAATAAAAGCTTGTGTTTCATAAAGGAATAGGTGGTGCTGCTAAAACTGCTGACTCCCGTGTGGGAGCTGAGGGGAGTAGTTTTATGGTACCTCCACTATCTCATGGGGAGGATGGGGGTGTGCAAGCAGCAGCTCCTGTCTAGAGGGGAAATACTGCATCTAGTGGATGACTGATATTTCTCATTTAGTGTAATGCTGGTTGTTGGAGAAGGGCGTTTGCTCTGTTACTTCACAAGATTCGATTTATTTGCTTTTGTTCAGATCTGCATGTTCCTGCTGCGTTTTAGAACGTTTGAGAACGGTGTTTTTAAAGCAAAAGGCTCAGTGTGAAATAAGAAATTAAGGAAAGGTGCTCCCTGACCAAAGAAGGCACCCTAGGCATCCTCAATTGTTGGGGGGGCCATCTGGGGAGAGAGTGGGGGGCAAACAAAAGACTCTCCAGGGGCCTTCCTGTGAGAGGTACTGGACTAGAAGGATGGAAACAACCAGGCTTCTTGTCCTTCCCCACACACACACACACACTTTGTTTTGATGAGGAGGAAGGTGGGGAAGCGCCCTGTGGCCTAGCAGTAATAATATAAAGCTGACCTGGGCCACCTCACCCAAGTCTGCTTCTGAGCCACTTTCCTTTCAAAGGACTTTCCATCCACCTGACCCCTGAGTAGCATGTATAGAATTCACAGGTACGCCTGTCATTTTCAGAACTCTAGGTCTGAAGCTTTGCCTCTTGAGAACCAGTCTGCAAAATGCCACCCTAATATTTGCTCACAGTTCAGTTCAGTTCAGTTCAGCTGGCATTCTAGACCTGTTAAGGACAGGGTCTAGGCTAGGTGTTGTAAGGACAAATCTATGGTATGGCCATTCCTGCAAGGACATACAACCTAGTAAAGGAAGAAAACTGTGTATGCCCCTAATACTATGCAGAATATAGGGTGTATAGCTGGTATGAAGCATGCTATACGAGCATCAGAAAGATTCATTATAATTGGGGGGATCTGAGACATTTCACTGAAGAGATGACATTTTTACTGATTCTTAAAAACTGATGGAGACAAGAAGAGGGAGGGATGACTAGATGAAGGACAGGGCAACTTTAAGGCAGTGAAGCTATTCTGTACGATACCGTAATGGTGGATGTAGGACATTAAGCATTCGCCAAAACCCACAGAAGTATACAGCACAGACAGTGAACCCTCATGAAAACTAGGCACATGAGTCAATATAATGTATCAACATTGGTTCATCAATTGTAACAATGTACCACACTAATATAAGGTGTTAATAATAGGAGAAACTGTTGTGGAAGGGAATATAGGAACTTTCTACTTTCTGTACAATTTTTCTGTAAACCCAAAATTGCTCCAAAGAAATTAAGTGGCTGATTTTATAGGGCATACATGGGGTGTGAAGTGCAGACCGCCTGGGCAGGGGGAAGAGGGCTGGGGTGGACACGAAAGAGCCAGTGGGAAAAGCTTTGCTGGCTTGCTAAGATCAGATTTATCTTCTCTGCGCTAGGAGCCCATGCTTTTGTTTTGGTCTTTTAAATTTTTATTTATTTATTTTTAGAGAGAGGAGAAGGGAGGAATAAAGAGAGGGTGAGAAACATCGATGATGTAAGAGAGAAACATCAATTGGTTGCTTCTTTTAAGTGCCCCAACCAGATCAGACAAGGGAACCAGGACCAAATCCACAACCCAGGCATGGGCCTGGACCAGGAGTCAACCAACAGCTACCTTTCTCTTTGCTGAAGGATGCCCAACCCACTGAGCCACACCCCTCAGGACCAGGAGCCCGTGTTTAAGATGAGAAGTGACATGATGAAACTGTGACTTAGGTCTCCGGGTTTTACACTTTAGATCTTAATAAGTTTATAGAACTACAATATTTAACATTTTTCCATCCCAGCTTCTGAGTCTCATCTTTGCAATGTCTCCAGTAAGCTTTTTCTGAAGGCCTTGACCCAGCCCAGCTGTGAATGCTTTGGCCCATTAAGTAATTTAAATATTTATATTTTGATAATATTGTGAATTACTGAGTAAATAAGTAATAGCTAATATTTTTAAAGATGTCCTATGTGCCAGGCACTAGTATAGCTACTATACTTTATATGTAGTAAAGGCTATGAGACAGGTAATATTAATACCTTCATTTTGCAGATAACAAAACCAAGACAGTAAGAAGTTAACTAACTTACCCCAAACCAAACACAATTATTTAGTGGCTGACACAATAAGACATGAGGAAAGGCTAGGAAAAAAGATAGCAGCTCTAAATCAGCCACATGTGATAAGGCCCCATTATGTCACAAACATATTATTGTGGAGTTCTAATCCTCACACCTTGATATGTAGAACACGCCTGTTTAAAGGCACCAAGCTGGCATTCTAGACGTAGTTACCTGTATTCATTTTTTAAAAAACCTTGCTGATACCCTAGTTCAGAGCCTCACCACATCACACCCATGGATCATTAACTAGATGCCCTATCTTCATTCCTCCTCCCACAAAAGCCCAGCCTGTGCTGAAAAACACCATGTCACTTCCCGAACCAAAAAAAAAACACACACACACAAAAAAGGCAGTGGAGTGCAGGGGTGGGGGGCTGGTTCCTTCCTCCTTCCACGTCCAATCTAAATTCTAACTGGTTTCCAACGTTGTCATTTCACACCACTCACCCTCACTGTGGTCAGCAGTCTCTTCATTACGCTGTGAACATGCTGTGCTCATTTCTGACGCTCTGCCCTGGCTCGTGTTTGTTCACTGACCTGAAATCCTGCCTTGCTGACCTCTAACTAAACCTTCCCTTCTGAACAAGTCTCTGATGAGTCCCTGCCTTCTCCCAGAAGCCACCTCTGATTTCTCCAGTCACTGCAAACAAACGTGTGCCACATCTGCACACCTCCCCGTCCTCGGGGGCCTGTAGCACCTAGTTATTCCTTGAATTACTTACCTTCTTCTCTCTTGTTTGATTGCTGTTTGACTATAAAACCTATCTCCCAACCATAGTGCAGGGTCTTCAGCAAAGATCACCTCCTTAGCCCCTCCCTCCACTGCCAAGTGTTCTGCTTGCCATAGACACCAAATACTATGGTCAGTCTGCACAGCATCATAGAAGCCCACAGAGCTCACTAGAAATTGTTAGTTAATATTTATGAAAATCCCACAAAATTTATGGCAGGACACTTGGCCCTTTGATGTTAAAATACATAAACAGGGAAAATTGGGTCTTTTGCACTCCAGGAATTCTAGTTAAAACAAATAAACAGATCCTGAGGCTATGCAGAAGATACCCACAACTGTGAGGTTTGGTCTGAATGAGTCCACCCTCAGGCCCTGAGCTCAGAGGGCAGCACTGACACACTGACCACCAGACAACAAGGGGATAAAGCAGGGGGGGGGGGGACGGGGGCGGGGGGGGAGACGTGTTCCGGGTAGAGGAACAGCATGTACAAAGTCAGGCACGGAAGTCCAGAACGTGCAGACATCAGTAACTAGGAGGTCAGGCTGGGACCTGGGGGCACTTCAGACACAGTGGCACTCAGTGAAACTACAAAGGCAGGTCGGGGTCAGGTGGTGGAAGTTCCCCAATACCTGCCTCGCCGTCCAGGTATTGTCC